GGGGGGTGCAAACAAGTCAGGTGCTGCTCCTCACCCTCCTCAAAGCCCTGCGGCTCCTGAGGCTCCTGAGGGTGAGGCTCCTCAGGACCCTGCAGCCCCTGAGGCTCTTGAGGCAGAGAAGTCAAAGGCTAGTGCTGGTCCGAGTGCTGTTGAGCCAGAGTTGAAGCGGCGCAGGCTCAAGAGGCTGGATGATGAGGAAGACCGTGACTCTGACCAAGAGCGTCAGACTGCACATGCCCAGGCTTCCGAAGAGAAGAAGAAGGCACCAACAAAGGAAGAGAAAGCTGCCGCCAAAGAGCTCAAAGAGAAGGAGAAGGCTGCTAAGGCTGCAGCAAAAGCAGCCGAGAAAGAGGCGAAAGCAGCGGCGAAGGCAGCGGCGAAGCAGCAGGCAAAGGACAAGAAGGCAGCAACCAAGAAACGCAAAGCAGAGGTTTCTGAGAGGGAGACACTGGGCAATTTCTTTTGTCCAAAGTGATTTTATTTCATTGATCCCGAGTAGTTTTGTTCCTGCAGCATTGAGCATTGTAGGTAACCAGCCCAACTATGGACTTTGTTGGTTGGTTTGTTGCATATGGCATCTTTGCGCTGCAGGCAGAACTGTTTCGGGTGTTCTTTTTGTAGGGGTTTCTGGATCCAGATCGGATAACCCGATCAAAAGAGATCTATTTCATTAGATTCATTCGAGCTGAGCTGATTCTCTGTCTCGGAACGTGGTTTTGCCTGAGATTGAGATCGTTGCTAGAGTACAAACGCCCAAACATACCAACCTTTGCTACGCAAGGTGTGAAAAAAATACAGGATTGCATGCTCTGATTTGCAGCGTGTGGAGTCGAGCCTGTGGAGCGGTGGGCTGGACTCACTCTTGCTTGTTTGCGACGGTGATGATGGTAGTGATGGTGGTTGTTTTGGATGTAGCGGCGTGACATGACGGGCCGTTGGGTGTGTTGGTTTGGTTTGTAGTGGCGGTGGCCGTGGTGGTCGTCGTCTGGTGGTGGTGGTGGTGGTGGTGTGGTGGTGTGGTGGTGGTGGTGGTGGTGGTGTGGTGTGTTGTGGTGGTGGTGGTGTGGTGTGTTGTGGTGGTGGTGGTGGTGGTGGTGGTGGTGGTGGTGGTGGTGGTGGT